GGGCAAGAAGGGCAAGGGCAAGAAGGCCGCCGCCGTTGATGTCTCTTCTGGCGATGCCGGTGACAAGGCTGCTGCTCGCTCCAACTACTCAGAGTACGACACCGACTACGCCGACCATGCTTCCAAGGCCGGCAAGAAGAAGGGCAAGAAGAAGGGTAAGAAGGGCAGGGCAAGGGCAAGAAGGACAAGAAGAAGTCCGGCTCAAGCTCCGACCTTTCCGTAGTACGACACCGACTACTCCGACTATGCTGCAAGGACGGCAAGAAGAAGGCAAGAAGAAGGGCAAGAAGGGCAAGAAGGGCAAGGACAAGAAGGCCGCCGCCGTTGATGTCTCTTCTGGTGATGCCGGTGACAAGGCCGCCGCCCCGTCCAACTACTCAGAGTACGACGCCGACTACGCCGACCATGCTTCCAAGACCGGCAAGAAGAAGGGCAAGAAGAAGGGTAAGAAGGGCAAGAAGGGCAGGAAGGACAAGAAGAAGTCCGGCTCAAGCTCCGACCTTTCCGAGTACGACACCGACTACGCCGACCATGCTGCCAAGGCCGGCAAGAAGAAGGGCAAGAAGAAGGGTAAGAAGGGCAAGAAGGGCAAGAAGGGCAAGAAGGGCAAGGGTAAGAAGGCCGCCGCCGTTGATGTCTCTTCTGGTGATGCCGGTGACAAGGCCGCCGCCCCGTCCAACTACTCAGAGTACGACACCGACTATGCCGATCATGCCGGCAAGAAGAAGGGCAAGAAGGGTACGAAGGGCAAGGGCAAGAAGGACAAGAAGAAGTCCGGCTCAAGCTCCGACCTTTCCGAGTACGACACCGACTACGCTGATCATGCAGCCAAGGTCGGCAAGAAGAAGGGCAAGAAGGGCAAGAAGGGCAAGAGCAAGAAGGCCGCTGCCGTTGATGTCTCTTCCGGTGGCGCCAGCGACAGGGCCGTTGCCCCATCCAACTTCTCCGAGTACGACACCGATTACGCTGATCATGCCGGCAAGGCAACCAGCAAGAAGTCAGGCTCCGATTCATCCTCTAGCTCCAGCTCCGACCTCTCCGAGTACGACACCGACTACGCCGACCATGCTGTCAAGGCTGGCAAGAAGGGCAAGAAGAAGGGCAAAGATGCGAAGGCCAAGAAGGCCAAAAAGGCCAAGAAGGCCAAGGCCAAGAAGACTAAGGCCAAGAAGGCCGGTGCTGTCGAAATCTCTTCTGGCGATGCCGTCGACCAGGCTCTTCCAACGTCAAAGAAGACCAAGAAGGCTAAGAAGACCAAGAAGGCTAAGAAGACCAAGAAGGCCAAGAAGGCAAAGGGCAAGAAGGCAAAGGGCAAGGGCAAGATCAAGGCCGACCTCTCGTCCGGCATCAGCGGTGACCACGCTGTCCTACCGCCAGCCAAACCCAGCAAGTCCTCCAAGGCTGGCAAGAAGAAGAACAAGAAGTCGTCTGGCACCTCCGAGTCGCCCGAAGACTTTGATTCGGGCTCCGGCTACACTACAGAATACGCTGGCGAGGGCTACGATCACACGGTCGACTACCTCAAGTTCAAGTCGTCGTACTGGGACGTCGTCGCCGTTGAGGAGGGCGACATGTCCGCTTCCCAGGCCCAGGTCAAGTGGTAACAGCCGCATCGCGCGCTACCGCCTCCTGTGACTGGTTGACAAGCTCGTGAGCCCCGGCAGCGCTCCACCCCGCCGCGGCCTCCACCCCGCCATCGTCCACGTCATCGTCGTCATCATCGTCGTCGTCAGACGTGACGTTCGTTCCGCCCCGCTGCGCGAGGAATGCCACCGCCACGTCGAGCGACGCCACATAGTAAGCCAGTTCTTGCAGTGATGCAGAGTACAATGTAAACTCGCGCATGTGCACCACATGAGCGTACAAGTGGCTCACCTCGGCCCGGCACAGCACGTACACCACCAGCCACAACATGTCGTCCGCGTTGAGCGGCTCCGCTCCGGCCTCTAGATGCGTTTCCACAGCGAGGGTGATCGTCTGCAATGTTGCGCGAACAACCATCTTCTTCTCCAATGGCGTCCGGCACTCACGTAGCAGCTCAACCATTCGGCTTGCCTCGCCCAGCTCACATCCGGCGAGCTCCGGCCGCACGTCCATCTCGTCGAGGCCCATGGCCCCCAGCGCCGCAATTCCGGCTTGAACACGCCGCTCCTGCCGCGCGTGGTACTGACATAGCACCGCAAAGAGATGCGTGTTCACCCCGCCGAGCACAAACGACTCGACCGCCACCTGAAGTTGGACTTGGTACTGCGGCTCGCTCGCAATCGCTTCGCGAATCCCGTCAACGCTGACCTCGAGCTCAGTCAACGTCGCGTCGCACAGCGCCCGCAACCGCCGCACAGTGTACGCGTGGTTGTTCTGCGGGTTGATTGGAGTCTGGTTGAACTCGCACAGTGCAGGTACAATCGACCCCACCAGCGACGCACTCGCCAGACGTGTCAGCAGTGACACGTACTCGGGATACGTATGGGTGATCGGAAAAACGTCCAGCGTGTACAGGTCGCGTGAGCTCTCGCTGCCACCGTCGCCCGCCCCGCCGCACCCGGTCTCCTCGCCGCCGCTGCTACCGTCTGCCCCGCCGCTTGCTCCACCACTCTCAAACTCGTCGTCATCGGTGGCAAAGAGAAACGAGAGTCCGCCCTCAAGCGGCTCCTCAATGCAAAAGATGGTGAACGGCTGAAAGTCGGCGTTGTAGAAGACTTCCTCAAACTGGATGCCCACGCTTCGCGACTCGCGGAAGCCACGCCCGGTGATCAGCACCCCATGCTCCTTGTCCAGCGTCACATGCCGCCGGTCCATGGTGATAAACTCGGTCTCTGACGCTGCAGGCATGAGCACGTGCATCATCACTGCGGCCTCGTTGACCACGTATCCCGCCAGCGACGACGCCCGCGGCACCGCCAGCGCGTACCCTTTCGCCGACGCGTGCCCATGGAGGTGTGCATATCGCGTCGTCACCTCTTGGTAGAACGGGTTGTCCTCGATCGTGCCCATGCTGTCGCCGCCGCCGCCACCGCCGCCGACCTGCAGTGCCTCGAGCGGGCCAAACGGCCGCAGCACATCCTCCAGCGTCACCCCACGCCCACGGCCTCCAGCCCCCACACCATTGCGCCTTCCGCTGTCCTGACTGGCATCCCCCCGCCGCCACCGCCACCATCATCGTCCTCGCTCTGCCGGCCACCGACGGACACCGACTGCGCTCGCTGGCCAAGCACCGGCGGCAGCTCATCAGCGCCGCCACCACCATCATCAGTACCGCCATCAGCATGACCAAGCCCTCCTGCATCGTCCCCAAGCGAGCCACCACCAGCATGGACAATGGTAGCACGGCGTCCGGGCGCCGTTCTGTTTCGTCTGCGGCGGGCTTCGGCACGGTCCCTGGCAGCCTTTGCCCGAAGACCCTCCAACCATGCATCCTCTGAGCCTGGAGAGCTTCCAGGCTCGTCGTCGTCCCACCACGCGTTCGCCATGTCCTCTTCCTGCAGCAGCAGCCAGTAAGGAGGCGAGTGGGGTGGGGAAGGAAGGGGGAAGGGGCGGGGGGGAGGGGGGGGGAGAGGGGGGGGGAGGGGGGGAGGGGCTGGGATAGGATAGTTGCGCAGGCGCAGGGAGGGGGGGGGAGGGGCATGATCTGTCTCATGCGCCATGACTACGACGACCACCACATCCACGATGACCACCACTGCCATCCAATAAGACACACACATGTACACCCAAGTACACATGCACATATGCTTATGGCATCAATGTGGTACACCTCATCACACCTTGGGCGTCCAGCACAATCACGTCACGTTCACCTGCCGCCACCGAACACGACGACGATCACCATCGAACACGACGACGACCACCATCGAACACGACGACGACCACCATCGAACACGACGACCACCACCACCATCACCATCGAACACGACGACGACCACCACCACCACCGAACACGACGACCACCATCACCACCACCACCACCGAACACCACCACCACCACCACCACCACCACCACCACCAAACACCACCACCACCACCACCACCACCACCACCACCTCACCCCCCCCCCCCTTCCCCCATGGCCACCAGCCCCAGCCTGGCATACACCACGCCGCCATGGCTGGCCTCACCCGTCGCCACAGCCACCGAGTTCCTTGCCTCGCACGGCTGGCTCCTCCTCGCCGCCATGGTCCTCGCTGCCGTGGTCTGGTCGCATCTCGGCGCTGCCATCCGCCGTCTCCTTGGCCTCGCCCCGCGCTTTGAACGCGACCCATCGTACCGTGCTGACCTCGATCGCCGCCGTGCAGAGCGATACAACGCCCTGCAGGACAAGATCGTCGCAGATGCTGCCGAGCGTCCGGCCCAGCCGCCCGCTCCCTCTCCCGCTCCACCCTCGCGCTCATCGGCGGCAGACTCGCTCTCGCCCGGTGGGCCGTCGTCTCTCCGCCACAGAAGGGGTGGCACCGGTGGCGGAGGAGGTGCCCTCGGTATGCACGGCGGAGGCCCGTCGTATCGTCCAGCCCGCAAGCGCCCAAGCCGTGGCGGCTGAGGATAAGCCCTCGGAGCCGCAATGTGCTCCGAGGGCGCCTCTGCCTCTCGCTCTCTCTTTCCCCGTTGCCCCGATCCGCATGTCGCCGTGTGCAGCTCTGCTGCCGTACACCGTCCCTACCCGCCATCGGGCTTCCTGTTTTCTACACTGATGCATGCGCTTGTGCACCGCCGCCGTGGTGAGTCCGCACAGCGCGTCCATGACGGGCGCGGCGGGAGCCGTCCGACTTTGTCGGGCGACTGCCGCGCCCCGAGTTTCCCCCCTTGTGCATCAGCCTCTAAGCAAATAAGCATGTAGCCATATATCTACCTGATTCAACGATACATTTTAGTCGGCAAACCACTGAACGTCAGAGACGAGGAGGAACTGGCCTGGGAGTTCGCCCTGGCTCGGAGCGAGGACCATCATCTTGGCCTTGTCGACTTGCACGTCCTGGACGTGGAGGAAGCCGGCAATATTAGCGTCGAGCAGCTCGTCTTCGCTTTGGGCATATGAGACCGCCAGGATGCACGAGCGCAGCTCGTTCGACGGCGTAACCTTGGAAACGACGACGGGCTCGGCAGCGGCCTCGACGCCGATCGGCAGCGCCGAAAGCGGCGCAACCTCGTCGGCGCCGACCCGGTAGATCTGAACGTCGCGAAAGTAGATGGTCGTGGCCGCCGGCGCAAGGTCGCGGTGCGGGCCATAAAAATAGTCTTTCATCTTGCTAGACCTTGCCGACCGCCGGAACGTCGCCGATCGCGTCACCACGCCGCCAGACTTGGCCAGCTTGACCACCGTGGTCGACGGCGTGTCCTTGAACGTCGATGTCAGCTCTTGCGTCAGCCGGTCAGAATCGAGAACAAGCACAATGTCGGCCTGGAACTTGGCAATCGTCTCCTTGAGCAGCCGAAGTCCGTCGCCCTCGATCCAACCGCAGGTGTTGATGACCGCCCCAGCAGCGCGGACCTCGTCGTTGAGCGCAAACAGCTCGCGCGCCTCGCCGGCCACCTTGTCCAACATGCGCTCAAAGAACGCCGCGTTGGCGCCGGGCGATGCGTGGCCGTAAAAGTAGACCAACGGCGGCGAGCCGTCGGGCGCCCCGGTCTCGATCTCGAACGGGCGCTCCAGGATGAGGGCGCCGAGCATGCCCGGCACGGTGATCCCGCCCTGGCCCACGTCGAGGTCGACAAACAGCGGGGCGGCGCCTTCGCGGATGGCGAAGTTGACCAGGATCTTACACAGCGACGACTTGCCCACGTCTGTCGGCCCGGCCACCACCACCACCGGCCCAGTCAGCTCCGCCTTTGTGCTTGCCTCGCCACGCAGCGTCTGCAGGGCGCCGTGAACATTAGCGTAGGTAGGCATGGGCGTCTCACCCGCCACATAGCCCGACTCTGGCTCGCCCACCACCGCCAGCTCAGCCCCATGCCAGGTGAAGAATGCCGCCTTTGTATGCGGGGCAAAGACATACGAGGCGCCCACCGCAGCCTCTGCGCCAAACACCTCGGCGTGGCCCGACCGCACCGTCACCGTCACCGCCGTCTCGCCCGTCTCGAATCGATACTCACTCTCCTTGTTCACACGCACCACATGGCTGCCTCCTCCGGACGCAGACATACCTCAACCCCCTGCCTGGCGTCGAGAAGTGGTCCTCCCCCCCCCCCCCCCCCAAGGCCTGCCCGTGTCGCCTTGTCTGCCACTGATCGAGCAAGGCCACCACTACCACCGCCAGCACAGGCAGCCATCGCCACCACCACCACCACAACCACCACAACCTCCACCACCACCACCCAACACACACACACACACATACACATATATATATATATATATACACACACACATACACACGTATACATGCCACTGCCTGTGCGCCTCACACGCGCAGCGCTGCTTCGGTCTGCGGCTGCTCCGGCCTCGGCACGCTCGCCACGCTCGACACGCTCGCCACGCTCGGTACGGCGGGGAGCACCGACACAGACACGGGTTGAGCCTTCTACGGTGGAGAAGTGCCAGTCGATGTCAGAGGGTGGAAGGACAAGGGCTCGCGCGCAAGCGCTGGTCGCAGCGCACCCTGCGCTAGCCGCTGAGGCTGCGCGCCGCCGCGACGAGCGGAGGGAGGCCCGTGTGCGGCAGGCCGAGGCTGCCGAGGCTGCCGCCCGTGCAAATGCTGCCCGCGCGCAGAAAGTCCGCAGGCGAAGAGCACGGCAGGCTGCAGGGGCCAAGAAGCTTCAGCTGGCGGCTGAGAAGCGGGCTGAAAAGAGGTTGTACAAGATCGAGCACGCCCGCGATCTCCAGGCTCGCCACAGGGCCGACCAAGATCGCCGCGCCCGTGCCCGCGCCTCTATTCGCGCCAAGCGCGAGGCCCGCGCCGCAGAAGATGCTGCCCTTCGCGCCGCATTTCGCGCCCGCCGCTCTGCTGCCGCCGCTGCCGTCACTGGCTCCGAGAGCGAACTCTCGGACGAGGCCTCGGACTCTGCGCCCGAATCGCCGGCGCAAGCCGAGGCCCGCCGCGCACGCACTCGCATTGCACACATCAAGCGGACCCTTGTCAAACTGCACGATGCACGCGCCGACGGCCTAGGTGCGCCGCGGCTGGACCTTGCCTCAACCAATACCTTTTCGCCGCAGCTGGTCAAGCTCCAGCGCGATGCACTGCTCGCTGGCGGTGCCACCTTTACCACATTGGCACAGCGGGCCGGAGCCGAGCCGACCCGCAGCACTCCCGCGCAAGGACGCCAGCCGCAACCTGGCGGCTCGATAGCCTCGGGCTTTCGCTCTGGCTACTACTCGGCACTCACAGTGCCCGAGCCCGACGAGGAGCTAGATTCGGTTCCGACCACCGACTGGACACACATGGAGATGCGGACCATGTGACCACAGGGCGCTCCTCACGCGTCGAGCGAAACATGCGTCGGCCCGAGCGGGATGCTCTTCGGCCACGGGAGCCGCAGACGCCGGCAGTCACCCGGCGCAATGTCGCGCTTGGAAAAGTGCTTGACCACCACGGGCAGGATTGCGCGCAGCGGCGTCTTGTCCTCTGATGAGAGTGCGGTGATCTTCAGCCGCGCCCGCTTCAGCGATGCTGTCTCGTCCGACTTGTTTCGGAGTGTGACAAGGAGCTTAGCGCCGGTCTGCTCGTCTGTGTACAAGTCGTGCGACTCGACCACAAAGGCCTTGGCCTGTTTGCGGCCGGGCGTCAGCGAGCCCCTGTTCGAGTCGGCCGTACGCTTGACGGCCTTTCTGTCACCCGTCCCGCTCGCAGTCGCCTTTGCTGGCGTCTTGGCCTTGGCCTTGGCCTTGGCCTTGGCCTTGGCCTTGGCCTTGGCCTTGGCTTTGGCCGGCGTTTGAGCTTTGGTCTGGGAGGCCGCCTTGACCTTGGCCCTAGCCTTGGCCTGTGCCGTCCGCACTTGGACCACGAGGTGGATCATCGGCTGCTCAAAAGCCTCGAGCTTGGTGGCAAACACAAAGGTGTCGTCCCATGCGGGGTTGAGCGTCGAGTGGCACATCCGCGAGACGTACTGCGTCGAGCCGAGGCGAACAACAGCAAACGGCGAGACAGCCGCAGCGCTGCGCGCACCGCAGAGGTCCAGCTTGGTGGCCTCGACTAGGTTGACGACCAGCTCATGCGGCTGCGAAAAGTGCTCCGGCTCCTGCACATTGATCTTGAGGTGCAGGACGCCTGACGATGTGTGGTCGAGGTTGACCAGTGCGTTGATCGGGGCGTTGAGCGTGATCGAGTCGACCCGCATGGCGATCGTGCCCATGAGAACCGCACCGTCGGGCGCCGATGGGTCGGACGACTGGAGGCCGTGGCCGTTAAAAATGGCAATCTCCAGCATTTCCGGCTTCTTGGTCGCCTGGCGATCCCCCTCGCTCACCGTGAGCGGCAGCCACATCGCCGTGTCGTGGTCGAGCTCCAGCGCCGCGAGCGCCACTTTGGTCTTGCCCAGCGACCGCCGCCGTGTCTTTCCGTCACGCCCGACCTTGTGGTCGTACACCGCAATGTTGAGGAAGCGGTCCGGCGGCCGATCCGCAGCGTTGATGGCAAACTTAAACAGAGCCTTCCACTGCGGATCGGTCTCATCCTCGCGCGAGAGTGTATGCTGCACGTCGTCACCAAGCGAGACCGCTGCAAACGCGTTGATCCCGCCCGACTTGGTTCGCCCAGGCAAGTTGCGGGCCTCGACCACCTGGACAACCAGTGTGTCGTCGGCAGTGTCCTTGGCTCCGCTTCCTCCGTCACCGACTGGCAACGGTTTGTCCTCGCTAGGCCGGTCGGGAATGACAACCGGCACGGCGGCTATGCTGGTGTCTCCTGGATTGGTGACCATCACTGCCGGGGTCGCCGCCGACGCCGACGCTTCGGCAATCTCGGCAATCTCGGCCTTGGCCTCGGCCTCGGCCTTGGCCAGCCGCCGCCGGTCGCGCTCGGCCTCGGCCCGCGCATGCTCTGCCGCCAGTCGTTCCTTCTCGCGCGCAGCAATGACCTTGGCCTTGGCCTCGGCACGCGCAATGGCCTCGGCCTTGCGCGCAGCAAGAACCTGACGAAACGTGACTCGTGCCAGGTGGCCACGGACTAGCGCCTGGATCTGCGGCACGAGTGTGTCCATTGCAGCCTGGCGCTGAGCGCGGACTGTGGCCTTGGCAGCTTGCCGAGCGTCTTCCTCGCGTTGAAGGGCCACAATTTCGAGCTGCGCCGACCGCCGCGCAGCGAGCTCGGTGTGCAGAGACTGCACCGCCTGCCGCGCCATGTAGCTGCGGATGAGCGCCTTGAGCGCACCAACGCCGCCGCTCCGCTGACTGTCGCGGAAGTGCTCGCGCTTGACTACCTCGCGCCTGTTGAGGAACTTGCGGCGGTCGGCGTGCCCGCGATAGACGGCTTGGATTCGAGTCGCGGCGTCGTTGCGACGGGCCTCTCGCGCAGCGCGCTTCGCCTCTTTGGACCGCAGCAGTCGCAAGTTGGCAGCCTTGACCCGGGCTGCGTGGGCCCGGTACTCGGTTTGGATTTTGGTTGCGGCGTCACGTTCGCGCCGGAGCTGACTTGCCTGAACCCTCGCTGCGTGGGCCCGGTACTCGGTCTGGATCTTGACCGCGGCACGGTGCCGGTGCTTTTTGCGCAACGCCAGCGCCCGACGACGGTCGCGATGGCCGCGCCAAGTCGATTGGATGTGGGTCGCGGCCTGGTTGCGCTCAGCACGCTCACGCTGCGCAAACGACTCCTGCCGCGCATACGCCACTGCCCGCGCCCGCGCCTCGCCGGAGAGCACTGACGAGAGCGAGCGCGAGCTGGCCGGTGCGTCGACGTCAACGTCGCCAGCGTTTGACCCTGCATGTGACGCCTCGCTCGACTGTGACGAGTCTGGCGGATGCACCACTGTCGACGCCGCATCAACCGACATGCCATCGTCGGCAACAGAGCCGCCGGCCAGATACATGTCCGACGTGCCCTGTGCCGAACTCGATGCCACCGATGGCGCCAGATGGGTCTCGTCGCCGCCGTCTGACTCGCAGCCGAGCTCGGCGATGCGGACAGGTGACAAGTTCCGCGGCAACGCCTCGGACGCCTCATCGCTGCAGGCATGCCGCGGTGTGCTCGGCTGCGAGCTTCCCGGCAGCGGCGTGGCAGCCATGGCCTCGTGCTGGGCACGAGCAAACTCGCCCTGCGCCTCGCTCCACTCGCGCGCTAGCGCCAAGTCAATGCGCGCCAGCGCAGGGTCGTCGTCGTAGGCCCTTCGGCTGGCAAGCTCAATCGGCTCGTCGTCCGGGTTGCACACAATTGGCATGTATAGGCCTTGCTGGAGCAGGGCCTCGCGCTCGCGACGGACAGACTCGACAATGCGGCGCTCGCCCTTGATAAGGCGCTCTGCAGCAATGAGCCGGCGCACAAAAGCGTCTTGCTCGCTCTCGGCCTCGCTCTCGTCATCCGACTCGATCAGCGACCGGTATGGTGGCGAGCCCGAGCCCGAGCCCGAGCCTGGGGACCGCCGCTGCATCCGATGTGCGTACGGCGAGCCGGAAGCGCGGTTCCGCCCGGCCGCGGACGCAGGTCGGAGCTGGCTGCGCCCACGCCCGCGGCCACGTCCAGATCTGGTTGGGGGACGCGAGCGGCCGCTCGCGGTCTGCGGCCGCTGCAGCGACTTGCGGTGGCTTCGCTTGACGCCCGACCTGTATCGCGTCTGTGGCAGAATTAGCAACGGATTCTCGATGACAAAACACGGGAGGTAGGCCGCGAGCCGCAGATGGATGAGCGCATGGAGGTCTGAGCTCATTTTGGCCATGTAGTTAACGCCACGCCAGACAAAAGGCAATGGGCGCGACATGTGCTGGCGCCACAACACAATGGCTTCAACAACCGCCAGTGTTGCATACCGCAGATCGTTGGCGAGCTCGCCCACTTCGGCCCGGGCCGCCGACTGCGGCTGAACCTCCCACTCGCCAGCGACAAGAGCAGCCTCCATGCGGCCAAAGGCAGCGAGGACGCGCTCCCGATCCTCCACCGCCCGCTCGACAGCCAATGAAGCACCCATCAAGTCTTCCAACCAATCGACCATGTGTGTGATGGCCCGCACAGACTCTGGCGAGTCGTCCACCAACCACAGCTTCTCAAAGGCACGCCGCTCAACCGCTGGCACCTCCAGCTGCTCCCACAGCTCGCCAAGTTCTGCCCGCTTATCTGCCAGCCAGGCCACCCGCGACATCCTCCGCTCCTGTTCCTACTCTCCACCACAGCCAGCGTGCGTGAGTGTGGGGAAGGGAGGGGGGGGGAGGGGGGAGGAGGGAAAAGGAGCTAGTGGCGGTGGTGGTGGAGGGGAGGTGGTTTGGTTTTTGGCAAGGCGTTGCTGGCCCGCTGGCACGGCAGCAGCGCAGAGGGAGGAAAGAGGGAGAGGGAGGGGGGGTGGGGGTTATGGGGAAGATAAGCAGAAAGGAAGGAGAAGGGGGGTAGGGGTGGGGGGTCGCATACAAGGAACTCCGCCCGCAGTGCGCGTTGCGGGGAGGCGCGGTGCATGGCGGGGGGCACAGTGAAGTGGTGGTGGTGGTGGGTGATGGGCAATGGTTTCGAGCTGGGGAACGAATGGACATGCTGGTGAACAATGCGACAGGGAGACTCAGGCTGGCCTGGGCTGGGCTGTCGCTAGGGCGAGTACGATGGGAGGCTGTCATCAGGAGGTGCAGATGCGGTGTAGAAAGGAGGTGCAGAGGCTTGGATCGATGAGCTGGCTTGAGCTGATGGGCTTGGGGCCGTTGGTGCCGCTCGTGGCGCCGCGCCAAACGGCTGACCCATAGGAGGACGTGGAGCCGGCGCGTTTGGTTTCTGGTACGGGTTGACGAACCGACCAGGTGGGGCGCTGAGTGCGGCAGCCGAGGCAGGCGCCGATGCACCGGGAGGGGGATGCCACTGCGTCACCTTGGTGGTGCGGTTGAGATAAAAGGTACGCCCGCTCGACGGATCAATCTTGGCTTCCCAACCTGATGGAAGCGGGGCGGCGCCCGTGGTGCCGGGGGCGGCAGGGCGCTCCCACTGGGTCACCTTGGTCTTGTGATTGACGTAGTAGGTCTTGCCCGAAGTAGGATCGACCTTGGCCTCCCAGTCCAGTGGGAGAGACGCCGGGGCGGGCGCGGACGCGGGCGTGGAGGCCGGAACAGGCACCGCAGGGCGCTCCCACTGGGTGACCTTGGTCTTGTGATTGACGAAATAGGTCTTACCCGAGGTAGGATCGACCTTGGCCTCCCAGTCCAGCGGGAGAGATGCTGCGGCGGGCGCGGACGCGGGCGTGGAGGCCGGAACAGGCACCGCAGGGCGCTCCCACTGGGTCACCTTGGTCTTGTGATTGACGTAGTAGGTCTTACCCGAGGTAGGATCGACCTTGGCCTCCCAGTCCAGCGGGAGAGATGCTGCGGCGGGCGCAGGCGCAGGCGTGGAGGCCGAGGCAGGCGCCGCAGGGCGCTCCCACTGGGTCACCTTGGTGGTGTGGTTAACATAGTACATCTTGCCAGAGCCGGGATCGATCTTGGCCTCCCAGTTAGGAGGAAGCCCGGACGACGATGGGCTTCCAACTGGCGGCGCCGACGCTAGTGGTGTCGGCATTGGTGCCATTATCATTGTCGGCTGGCGCGGCATAGTCGAGGTGACCGAGTGGGCGGCATGCGGAGCGTAGCGAGCAATGATGAGCTGGTCACGGACGGTCGTCCTGTTCTCCTGTCTGTGGTTATTGCGCGAGTGGTTCGGCCGGCGCTCAAGGTGCTGGGTCTGGTGGATGGCCTCGACGCGAAAGCCCTCGGCGCGCAGCAGGTTGACGATGGCCATTTCCGAGTGGACAAGATCATACTTGCCCTTGAACGGGAAGCCGTTGAAGATGGCACGCGGGTGGGAGAAGTACGGGTCGTTGTAGGCGTTGCGCTTAAACATGGAGCGGCGCTGCGAGCGGTAGCCGTAGCTCTCGAGCCCGCTCTGCAGAACGTAGAAGAGCTGGCCGTCATCAGGAATGATGCGAAAGTAATCCTTGAGGAGCGAGATGGTGACCATGCCGCCCGAAGTACCGAGCGCGACATCGTGCTGGCCGTCGAGCGGCGCGATGGCGGCAAAGTAGTCGTCGTCGCCAATTGAAATGACGGTCTGTGAGATCTGGGCATGGAGGGCGGCCAGCAGATTCTGCGACGAGTGGACAAGGCCTTTCCACATGACAAACGGGTAGCCGCGGAGCTTGGCAGTAAAGACGCCAACGGCGTTGCGCTGAATGTCGCGCTGGACGTGGCGACCGCACGAGACCCGCATCATGACATCGTTGATGAGCTGCTCCGGAGCATTGGCTGAGAGATAGACCCGGTCAGAAGAGCCAGCCACGCCAACGTAGCGGTGTGGGATGGGGTCGACGCCGGCCAGGTACTGGCGAAAAACAAAAACGTACTCGCCGGCAACAGTGAGAAGCGAGTATCCCGAGGCGACGATGGCGTTTGCCACGCCGACAACGTTCTCCAGCGCAGTCTCGCGATGCTCAAACGAAGTGAGGACTGAGCCCTCGTACATCCCGGTCTTGCTGTTCTCCACAAAGCCGCGGCCGCCAATCTGGATGCCCTCGGCGGCCAGGGCAGTGCCGAGCGCTGCCACAGCACTGCTCTCCATGTTGTGCGAGATCATGATCTTCTTGCGGAAGCCAGAGAGGACTAGGACCGGAGGCAGGGCGGCAAGATCCACAACTGCCGAACTGTGCATCTCCAGCGGCGCCAAGTAAAAGTGGACCCGGTCGTTAAAGTGAGCCCCCGACACCACTTGCTGGCCGACCCGCATGGCACCAGAGAGGATCGGTGCGAGTGCCGATGGCAGCAGATGCCGTCGCAGCGGGTTGCCCTTGAGCTTGGCGTGCCAGAACTTTTGCCGGCGCATTGCCCAAGTCTGTTGCATAGAAAAGCCCTCGGCCAGCAGCTGCTTCTCCATGGCCTCCAACGCCTCTCGCGGCGTGTTTGTAGACGCCATCATCTCGTCTGTATCGTCTACCCACCATGACCACGCCGGCTGTGCCCCTCCTGGAGCGAGCTGTCCATTGAAAGCCGCCATGATGGTGCGTGTGTAGATGTAGGGGAGAAGTACTAAGAAGCGAGAAGCGGCAACGAATTTGCCGCAGTGGCGGGTTAGAGGAGAAGACACTTCGCTGGCAGGGGCGACGACGATCTGGTTGGTGATCTGGTGGACTGGGTGGTCTGGTTGGTGATCTGGTGGGCCGATCTGGTGGAATCCGGATGTGGTGTGTCAATCCGATTACATCAACTTTGGCCAGCTGGCAGGAGGAGAGAAGATGGTATTGCTGGTCAGTGTGTGGTGATCGGTGTGGTGGTCGTGTGTGATAGCGCGGGCGGCTACGTTGACAGTCTCTCTGACAGGCATACTTGCTGTGATTGAGAGAAACGGCGAGGAGGATGGGGGGTAAATAGCCAGTTCGCGTGTAGGTAGGTGCGGCTGTGAGCGGCAGGTGAGAGGCGACGTGGCATGGAGCCGTGGCTCCACCCCAAACGAGACGGACAGCCAGGGTAAGACCAGGCTCTCCCACTCCCCAACCACCACCTCCACCTACCCCTCCTACACATTCACTACTCCACTCCACTGCACTGCAACTCATTGACGTGTAGTGTGTGTACCAACATGGCGACATCAAAGCTAGTGTACCGGAAGCGGGTATGTGGTCCGTGGTGGTGTTGGCTGCTGTGAGGGGGAGGGGGGGGGGGGGGGGGAGGGGGTCGGCCCCGCAGAGGCTCGCAGAGGGGTCGCCCGGAGGGAGGGAGTGGGCTGGGAGGAGATAAAGGAGGGGCGGACGGGTGGGATGTGCTGAAACTCATGTGTGTTGTATGTCATGTGCTGGGGCTTGGTTGCTACTGCCGTGTTGCAGCCTGACGGCGGCGACGAGGGACAGGGCGGAGCGGCGGCGGCCGATGCGGCTGTTGAGGCAACGGGTACTGGGCAGAGCAGCAGCAATCTGCCGATCCCGCTGCCTGTGACGCTGTCTGAGCGGTGGCGCAAGTGGGTGGTGCGGACGATCACGACGTGGACGCTGATTGGCATCTTCTCGCTCATTGTGCAGCAGGGCCCGATTGCCATCTCCGTCTCGATTGTGCTGCTGCAGATGGTGGCCTTCCGCGAGGTGGTCAACATCGGTTACCTGTGGAATGTGGAGAAGCAACTGCCGCTGTTCCGGGTCCAGCAGTGGTACTTCCTGCTGGTGGCCTTCTACGCCGTGTACGGCAAGGGCACGCAGCTGTACCTGCTTCCGATGATGGGCGAGGTGGTGCCGGGCTTTGGCTGGACGCTAAACCACCACTCGTTTGTGGCGTTCTGCGGCTGGGTCTGCGGCTTTGTCGTCTTTGTCGTCTCGCTCCGCAAGGGCTCGTACAAATACCAAGTGGCCCAGTTTGCGTGGACTCACATGTGCCTGCTCCTTGTCATCCTGCCCAACATCTTTGTCATCCGCAACACCTTTAACGGCCTCTTCTGGTTCCTCCTTCCCTCGACGCTCATCTTTGTCAACGACATCACAGCCTACATGTGGGGCTTCCACTTTGGCCGTACGCCGCTCATCCAGCTCTCGCCCAAGAAGACCTGGGAGGGCTTCATCGGCGGAGGGCTCTGCACCCTCATCTGGGGCTTTGTCTTCCCGGCATGGCTCGTCTCGCACGAGTGGCTCATCTGCCCGCGCGCCATCGAGAGCTGCACCCTCAACCCGGTCTTTACGCCGACCGCATACGAGCTGCAGTCTGCGCTCGCCGCCTCGATCCTCGCCAAGCTCGGCTTTACCGTCGTCGGCACCGCCGTCGTTCTCATCCCCGTCCAGCTCCACGGCCTGGCGCTGGCCTTCTTTGCCTCGGTCATCGCCCCTTTTGGCGGCTTCTTTGCCTCGGGTGTCAAGCGGGCGTACAACCTCAAGGACTTTGCCAACCTGCTCCCCGGCCACGGCGGCATCATCGACCGTGTCGACTGCCAGTTCCTCATGGCTACGTTTACCTACATGTGGTACATCAACTTTATCAACAAGTACGACCTTTCGCTCCCAGACCTCATCGTCCAGCTCCAGTCGCTGTCCGAGGGCGAGATCGCCGAGGTATGTGCCCAGATCCGGTGCGCTGCCCCGTAGCCCTGAGTGTTGATAACACAAAACACATATACGCACACTCCCGCACACGCACACGTACACACACACACACACACACACACACACAAGCACGCGCGTACACACACATTTTTTGTTTGAACTATGTTCACCGGGAGCGCAACCATGCAACCTGCCCTGGATACTGTCAAGCCCAACTGCGGCAGCGTGTGGCGATGGCAAGTCGACGGTCACTCAACCTCCACTCTCTCCGCACTCAACTCGTGTGGGGACATGGCGGCCAACGATGCCGACCCCGAGGTCCTACCCATCAAGCCGGGCGTCCGTGGCTCGTGGTATGGCGGGTATGTGATTAGGGTCTACCCATGACCTACGCCCCTCTTTACACACCCTCTCTTTTCTCTTTCCCTGTCGCCTTCATCCCGCCCCCACCTTGCCTGTCCTCCCCGGGCCCGACAACGGGGGAACGTGTTCGCTGACATTGGCGCGCCAAAGCCACAAACGGCCAAACGCCGATTCAGGGCGACCGGGCAGGGCAGCAGGCCTGGAGGCGACAGAGAGGGGCAGGCAGGGCATAGTTTGGGGAGGGGGGGGGGGGGATGTTCGGGAGGGGATGTGGGGAAAGGTAGGGTGGAGCACTCATGGTTGGCGAGAATGCGTTTTGGACCGCGACGGACGATGCGCCGGGGAAACGGGCTGGGGGGATATAGACCGGCGCTGACTAGGCAGGAGCGACGATCGTCGATGGTGGCGATGAGCCAGGAGCAGATGCATGTGGAAAAGCACGAGGTGTCGGCGTCGGGATGGGTGCTGTACTATGAGGGTAAGGGCTTTCGCAAGGGCTGGAAGCAGCGATGGCTCGTGCTCGAGTTCCGCTCGCTGCGGTTGCTGGACAAGCCGGCAGGGAAGGACCTGCGGACCGCGGTCGATGTGTCGGCAGTGAAGCGTGTGGGCCGGGCGGCGGCCAGCGACGCGCCGAGCCACGCCAAGGCTGACAAGTACGACGGGCGCCTGGTCAAGCTGGCACTCGCTGACGGCGCGCTGATGTTCGCGGCGACCACGTCCGAGTCTGCTAGCACATGGATCTCCAAGCTCTCGTATGCCAAGGCGATGTACTCGGCGCAGGTCGGCTCGCCATCAGGCCGCTTCACGCCGATCAAGCAGTACCTGGTCCGCGAGCCCGTGGCGTCGGTGGCCGACTACTCGATGCTTGCACAGTGTCAGATCCGGTCGTACCGGTCGCGGGCGGCATCCGTCTCGGGAACGCCGCCAGCACTGGCCAGTAGCGACGATGATATTCCGCCGACGTGGACAGGCGTGCCGGTCGAGTCGTCGATGGCCCGCTATGCGTACGGCGTCGAGAACGATGAGAGTCTCTCTGCATTCTACAAGCGGTTCTTCGCGCCGTTTGACCACGGCGTCTTTTCCGCCATCACCGCCGACGACTCGCCAGTCATTATCTCGCTCGTTCGCGAGGCAATATCGCTCTACGGGCGTGCAGGCGTGTCGATGCTGCGGGTGCTGGTGTGGACGCCGCTCGGGCTGGAGAAGCACTACTTGGAGCCCACGTGGAGCTTCAAGTCATACAAGCACGACCTGGGCAAGGTGCTGGCGCGGCTGGGGAGTGATGGCGAGTATGTGGTGCTGAAGAAGGAGTTTGTGGCGTGCCACGAGCAGGGCGTTCGCGACGAGCTGCTCAAGCTCGAGAAGCTCTGGGTCCCGACCCAGTTCAAGATTGGGGTCCTTGTGGCGCGGCCCAACCAGACCGACGAGGACGAGATCTTTGCCAACGATGTCGACCCCAACGACGGCGACGCGCCGTTCAACAAGTTCCTTGCGCTCCTCGGCGAGCGGGTTCGGCTCCTCGGGTACACTGGGTACCGTGGCGGGCTGGACGTCAAGACCGACGGGACCGGGACGCACTCGGTCTCGCGCGAGGTCTACGGCAACGAGGTCATGTTCCACGTCTCGACATATCTTCCGCACGACGACACCGGACAGGAGCTCAAGCGCAAGCGGCACATTGGCAACGACGTGGCGTGCATTGTGTTTGTGGAGGAGGGCGAGGGCTTTGCCGGCTGGGACCCAAACACCATCCGCTGCAAGTTCCAGCACGTGGTCGCTGTCGTCCGGCCTATCGATGGTGGCCGCGCGTACGCGCTGGGCGTGGCGCACAAGGGCGAGATGTATGAGTTTGGCCCACCACTCCCGACCTCGGTCTGGGAGGCCGGTGAGCCGTTCATCGAGTACCTTGTGCTCAAGCTGCTCAACGGCGAGCGGTCAGCCATCCTCACCTCGCCGCTGTTTGCCATCAAGTACAAGCGGACACTCGACATCATGCTGCGGTCGATTCATGACGACGCAGTGGCTGCGGCCGAAAGTGGAACGACAGCAGAGGTGCTCGCGCGGTCGGCGGATGTGGCTGCGCAGCTGTGGGGCGAGTCGGGCGTCCCGCCGTCAGGCAACGAGCTGACCAAGAACGCTATCTTTGTGACCGAGCCACTGATGCAAGGCGTGCCGCACAAAGTCGTGTGCTGGGACCTCTGGGGCTCGCACTTTATTTTCTCGTCAGACTACGGGCTCTTCCTCTGCCCGACCGCCGCCGACGACGCGAGCGCGGCCGACGACGCACCGGTGCGGATTTCGTCGCTGGCTGCGGCAGAAATGACGGTCGTTGAAGCCCTCGACGTGCTGGTGATCAAGGCCAAGAACGCGCTCTGGCTGCTGTACCTCGGCTCAATCGGCGAGCTTGTCCAGGTCCGGCTGAGCGGAACCAAGGGCGTGAGCCAGTACGAGGTGGCGCAGATTGGTAACGACGTGGTGCTTGTAGCTGGAGTCAAGTCGTCACTGGTGGTCTTCAAGTGGCAGGGCTCCACTTTTGTGCAGGCGTCGAGCGAGGCGCTCGCTGGCGGCAAGGCGACGGTGCTCCACATCATCGGTAGCCACGTGGTTGTCGGCTCGCCGACCCAGTTCTACCGGCTGCAGCTCGAGGCCGATACGCTGGCGATCTCAGGCTCGCAAGCGCTATTTGTCCCGCCATCACCGCTGGGCAATCGGGCGCTGGAGATCTTCCCAATGACCGCGGACGACCGGTACCTGATCTGCTACGACGATCGGGCGCTGTTTGTCAACGAGGTCGGGCAGGCGACGGGCCTTGAGTTTGGATGGTCGTCGCAGCCGCTCAAGCTCGCGTGCTACCCACCGGTTATTGTGGGCGTCATGATTGACTTTATCGAGGTCCGCTCGCTCCTCAACGGCGCGCTTATCCAGCAGCTTTTCCTTGACGGGCCCATCCGTCTTCTCTCATCGCAGGACGGTCCGGCAGTAGCGGTCCATCCAACGCCGACGTCGACCGACGTGCTCTTTCTCTGTGCTGTCCCCTCGCCGCAAGCCCAGGGCGAGACAAGGACTATGCGCGGGCGGCTAGACGGCGGGCGCATCAAGATCAACTTTACCGAGGCCCGCCCCGGCGCCCAGGTCGAGACCCAGACCACCGACGGCGCCATCTCCGTCTCGAGCACCAGCGGGAGCGGGTGCACCAGCGGGAGCGGGTGCACCAGCGGGAGCGGGTGCACCAGCAGAAGCGGAACTAGTAGTGGAAGTGCAACCAGCAGCGACTCGAGCGACGACGGAAGCGCCAAGGCGGAGGGTGAGGTCGAGCCCGAGCCCGAGCCCGAGCTCGAGCCCGAGCCGGGCCTGGTTATCTCGGACTCGAGTTCCGGCGACGCCGCCGGCGCCGCAGACAATGCGGACAGCCCCGAGACAAGTAGCTCATCAGACTCGATGAGCAGTGCAAGTGGCAGCGCTGATGGCAAGTAGTTGTCTTAAACAGTTGAACATGAGTACATGCCAGATGTCGGCGGTCAGAGCCGCGATCGTGGAACGGGCGGGACGTCGCCAGCCAGTTGCCGTAGCGCCTTGGCAAGGCGGGCCTTGCGGGCGGCGCCGGCGACCTGGAACAGCCGCGCGTCGCGAACAAAGTCGGGCTCGGCAGCACAGAACGCGCTGTCATCGAGCAAGTGCGAGACGAGCGCCGCCGAGCCGCGGGAAGCCGAGGCAAAGACAAGCGTTTCGGCTGTGTCGTCGAGTGGACGGTCGAGAGTATCAGACATGTCATTCACCCGCGCCTCGATGCCGGCCAGTAGCGACTCGTAAGCCGCCAGCGGCGCCATGACGTCGACAATGGCGTTGCCGAGCCGCCCGTGCTGCGCGGCGAGCTGGACTAGGTAAGCCCCGGTGGCCACGTTGACGCATGAGTCCTCAATGAGGCGGAACGGGCGCAGGATGCGCGGCCAGGCGTGACCCTCTTCCAGCACACCCAGCACCATGCCAGAGCCGTCATCAACAGGCACGTCGTCGAGGATGAGCTGCGAGTGCGAGACGTCGGGGACAAAGTCGACGCTCCGCTTTGGCGCCGGGAACGAGATACGGCCGGCGGCAGAGGCCTTGGCAGCATCGACCAGAACAACAGCCAGCGGCGGGCGCGGCGAGTCGTTCTCACCCACAGCGGCGATGACAGCGAGGACCTCGGCCTCCGCCCCGCCGGTCACAAATGACTTTGATCCGCAGAGGAGCCTTGCGCCGGGCTCGCCGACGATGGTTGTGGCGATGGACGACGGCGGGGCGCCAGGGACAGCCTCTGTGGCACACATGGCCAGCCGGGCTGGATCAGCGCCTGCTGCCTCGGCGTACGCTGCGTAGTACGACAACTCGTTCGCCACCTGGTAGCCGGCAGCAAAGGCCGTGCCCAACGAGCCGGCGTGCCAGCCAGCGGCCACGAGGCGGTCGGCGGCCGAGCCGCATGAGGTCGCTGGCGGGAGGAGGTTTGGCCACCACGAGTGAAAGGCCACACTGCGCGAGGGAACAGCGTCTGCCACCAGCTGGGCCAGGCGGGAGGTGGCCATGTGGTGGAGTGGGGTAGGGGTAGGGGGTGGGCTGGGGCGGGGGGGTGGGCTGGGCGGCGCCCTGCTTATGTGAGGCGTCGCCACTGGCGATGATTGGTGGGAGATGTGGGAGATGTGTGTGTGTTGTGAGCAATGTGTGTGCTGTGAGCGATGTGTGTGCTGTGCGCGATGTGTGTGTTGTGCGCGATGTGTGTGCTGTGTGTGTTGTGCGCGATAAGCGCGATGTGCGCGATGTGCACGACATACCCTGCAGCACGCGATACGTATGCTATATACGACATCTACGTATGCTATATACGACATCTACGTATGCTATGCGCGATACGTGCGCTGTCCATGACGTGGGCGCTGTACTCAACGTGGTCGACACGCGATGCACTCCCCCCCCCCCCCCCGGGCGGTGATCCCTCCTCTCTCCCCACACCTCTCCACACACACACACACACATCCCATGGCGTCCTCGTCGGCAACCGCATCCGCGGTAGTAGGCCTCTACCGGCGAGTCCTTCGCTTTGCCCGCCACCTCCCCGAGGGCAGAGCCCTAGCGCTGCGAACAGAGCTCGACACCGCCCGCAAGGTCTATGCCGGTGCTGATGCTGCGTCGGTGGCGGCGGCTGTCGATCAGGGACACGCCAAGCTCCGCTTTCTCTCCTCCATCCTCTCCGTCCGCCTCGACCCGAGCCCCGCTGATGTGGCAAAGGCTGATGCTGCCGTCCAGCGCTTTGTTCTCCGCGATGGCAAGGTTGTCCCGGCTGAGCCCGGTGCAGAGCCCGAGATCAGGTCCAGGACCGCAAAGATCTCGTCCTCCCCGCCGGGCTCCGTCGACTCGGCCACTCTGGATCGCCATCGCCAGCTTGTCCGTCGCCAGCACTTTCTTGGCCGCTGATGGCCACCCTGTCTTCAGCCCGCCGGGTGAGCGGGGGACGACTCTGCGTTACTCCGATTTACCTCCACTCCGCTTGCCCTGGCTTTGCGCTGCTAGCCCGATCCTGCTTAGCTCGGGATCGCCCGCCGTTGAAGCCGGTAAATGATCAGAGGAGAGCATCAAGAAGTGATGTGACGAGCGCGTTCACCGCGTCGGCCGACTTGAACGAGAAGCCCGGTGTTGTCGCAATGTGGGCATCGACTGCTGCACGGACGATAGCCAGCGACAGCGAGTCGGGAAGCATGGCCTGCAACGATGCCGCAGCATAAGCTGCAGGCTCGAGCGACGGCTGATAGTCAGCATCCTGCGCGAACAGATCAGCCTCCAGCTCGAGCAGCTGCGCGATGAACGAGGCGTTTGGCCCAATGTTTGGCCGCGCTGCCTTGACCTTGTCCATGGCGTCCGCCAGCGTCCGCGGCACCTGCCGCTCAGGATCGTCAGGAAAGCCGTGAATCATCAGGAAGGCAAGCACCGCTGTCGCCGATCGCGAGATGCCGGCCTGGCAGAAGACTATGGCGACGGAGCCGCTATCCAAGGCTGCTGCAATGAACGGCACGCCCTCGTCCACGTACGCCGCGATGGTCTCGTCCATCTCGTCACGCTGTGCAATGTGCAAACAGGCCACTGCGCTTGCCTCGGCATCGGCATCTTCCAGCGGATGCCGCAAATCAAAGGTTAGATTGAGCAGCGCGCCGATGGCTAGCCCCTCGTCCTCCGTCGCCCGCACGGTTGATGTGTAGTCAGCCAGCAGCAGCCTCCCATCGCCATTACACACCTCGGCCACCACACTCACCGGCATAAGGGACAAGCGAGACAGGTGTGGAGTGCGGGCAGGTGCCTCTGTCCGCCTTCCATCGCTCCGCCGCATTCGCAATCGTGTCGCAATCGGTGTGGGAGAGCGTCTGCGCGTAGATCAAGTACTTTGTCCTCAACTTTATGTAGATGTGGCGGTACACGCCGGAGTTGGAGATCAAGCAGGAGAACCTGGAGCTCCAGAAGTGCGAGGTCGAAGGAGGTGAGTCGCTGGTCTCCGACTTGCGCACTCGCGCACATTCCCCGCCCCCACCCACCCCCGCATACATGCACCTTAACTACAGCCGTACATCATCCTCTCGCCAGACTGCCACCAAAAATACTCCTGCATCGCAAGAGAGGGATCGCAGGAGATCGACTCCCCCGTCCCTCCCCCCCCCCCCCCCCCCTTCCACCTCCAGCTTGCCACATGAGCCACTGTTGGTCGGGCCGCTTGGCAATGACCAGTCGATCCCAACGGTTGGCCGACCACTGCCGCTCCCCCCCCCCCCCCCCCGTTACCCCTCACCTCATACCGGCCTAGCTCGGGGCAGCACACTCGACGCAGTCATTGACTCCCACCATGGCGTGGCGTCCGACTGGAACGACGTCATTTGCGTCCACTCCTTCTCTCCGCCCTGACCAGTACACAGCTGGTGAGGCCAAGATGCTGGCCAGAGACCGCTCCCGAACGAGTAGGTTGACCAGAGACTGTCGTCGGTCGGGCGGCCGTTGGTGGCAGTGACCCCGTCCCCTCCCTCCCCCCCCCCCCTCCCCCTCGCTCTCTTGGATGCTACTCACATAATGATGTTGTTGTTGTCGTTGTGGTTGATGGCGATGAATAGCTTCGGGCATCGCGCTGGAGCCCAAGGCAGCACCGCTGCCAACGGCGCCTGTTCGGCCGAGAGCGCGCGGACAGCGGCGGGCGCTGGATGATTACGGTGACGCGCGAATGGCTGACTCAAGGCGAGGCGGAGCGTTTTGGAACGATCCAGCTACCTTTGATATGTATGCCACCACACATCAGCGGACGTATGCGCCGCCCAAGGAGGTGCCTGTGGCCGTGCCGTCTGTCCTCGAGCACCCGTCGCACAACAAGGCGCCGCTTTCGGACAGGCTCAATTACGCGCTTGACAAGGATGCCCTTGCCCTGCCGCATTTTGATGCCGCGGTGAAGAGCGCCGAGGAGCGGCTGGCGCAGGCGCGCGCCACTCGGGAGGAGGCGGAGCAAGAGGGCGAGACCAAGGCTGCCGAGATCGACGCTGCCACCCGCAAGGCCGCAAACCGCCCGCTGCAGACCATGGATCCCGCGACGCTGCCGTTTGGATCGCTTGTGCCACTCTCCGAGACCCATGCGGCGTACGGCGTTCCGCCCGAGTCAGCCTTCCCGCACGCCGCCGAGCACGCTATCACGCTCATGCGCGACAACCCTGACGCTGCCCGTGGCATGAACCGCGACGAGGCCGACCACCTTCGGGCGGCGGCAGCGTCGCGCAGCTCATCACGCCCACCATCAGCCAGTGATTCCGATCCGGCTACAGCGCGCCTCCCGTCGTCGTTCCGCCCGGTCCCGCACACCGGCATGGTGACAACGTACCAGGCCACTCACGTGCCGCAACCCGACCCGGACGCTGGCTTTGACCTGCCACCGTCCGAGGTGGTAGCGTGCGCTAATGCTGACCGAACCCGGATCCCGCCGAGCTACGGGCCGGCAAACATGTGGGAGACTACCACTGGAGCGACTTACGGCGCGCACGCGAGCGTCGAGCGTCCCACTACAGTGCCGGCCTCAGCCATCGCCGGCTCGGGCTCGCGGTTGACACGGGCTGCTGCTCCGACGCCCACCTTTGGCCCGCGAGCCACCGAGCGCTCCGCAACGAGGTCACCGAGTACCACTATGCATACGATCGGCGCGAGGACAATGAGCCGCGCGAACACCACAAGTGGTTGTAGCCGCTCGCAAGGCGGGACTAAAAGAGATGATAACCCTACACTACTGACGCCGCCGAGCCAGAGAGCTGATCTTGAGCGGCAAGACTTTACACGACTGCACCTACACGTAGAGATAATTGACGGAAGACTCGACAAGAGTCGGATAGTGGATGCCATCGCCCGGCGGCGGAGAGAAGGCCGGGAAGAAAATACGCCACCACTGGCCGCGGTAGCCAAAGAACTGGTCGAGGTTGCGCCACGTCCCCAGGTCGTACTCGTTGACCCAGACCTCGCCGTGCTGGGCGGCCTCCTTCTTGCGGAAGCGGTTAAAGTAGAACTCGATCGTCGTCTGCGCAGTGATCACAAGATACAGCTGCCACACCATCATAAACGTCAGCGCCAAGCAAATCGAGAGAGTAAGGACAAAGACAAAGACAACAGAGCCACGCCCAATCGGGTACGGCCACGGCTTGGCCTCAGACTCGAAGAACGGCGCCGACGACATGAACGCCACGTACAGGCACCCTGCCCACATGTATATGAGGAAGAGAACAAAGTACCGATGGTTGTAAAATCCAACGCAGTTGTGGATCCAAGGACAATGATGGTCCATCTTGAGCACACAGCGCTTGCACACATGGCAGTGGTGCGCCCGGCGCGGCTTGACGCAGTTGCCTACTCCCGCCCATATACCATCCCATATCCATCATCATCCGTTTCATGTCCACCCCGCCATCATAACCACCCCCACCACCCGTTCCCGCCCCCAGCCCCCGCCCCCGCCACCCATCATCGTCCCCAGAGTCCACCAAGCAAGCCAGGGGAAACCCGCGCCATGACCACCACGTGCAGCCCAGTTTCCCCACGACCAGGACCATGACCACAGACCGCCACACACGCACACACACACACACACACACACACACACAACATACACAACATCTCCAAGCATGAGTCCCTTCCTCCCCTCCACCTCCCCCAGTCCCTGCCCGTTCCCCAACACACACACTCTCTCTCGACGTACACTTCTTGCAAAAGGCAGAGCCATCGTCCCCGTCCTCTGCTGCCAGGTCAGCCATCTGCTCCTGTATATGGGTATGGGTATGGTTAAGGGATTGTGGTCATCGGGGGGTACGGGGGGGGGGGGGGGAGGGGGGAGGGGGAGGGGAGGGGAGGGTGTAGGTTAGGGTAGGGGTTAAGCGGG